ATCCTCTTGTCATCAAGAAGTGGTAATTTTGCTGTAGGCAAGTGGAGCTACCTTTTCCTTTATAATGATAACTTTTTGGTCTTGTCTGAGAAATCGTCTCTTACTCTCAATCATAAATACGAAAATGCCTTCTCTTGTGCTCCCTCTGTGTAATGTAAGGAAAAACTTATTTTGGTCCATATAAAAAACTATGCAGGGGTCAAATTGGGCTCTTGACCAGTTTTTGTATGCCTTTGTGAGTGAGGCATGGCTTCTACATTTTTTGAAAGGATACATATAAATACACACACACTCATGTGTACATGAAGAATATGTGTCAGAGATTGTGTGTCACCTGCAAAGTCTAAAATATTTATTACATTCATTATCTGGACCTTTATACAAAAAGCCTGCAGACTCCTGGATTCATCACTTTTTTCTCACTTATTTGCTATATTTTAACTCCTGACTTGTACCTGGAGGTTTTTTTTTGGGTGGGGGGGCTCCATTCTGTCTCATCCATCTCTTTGTTGTCAACTCCAAATACCACACTTATGAAAATGGCTGTTTCCATCATAAAAGTACATGAGCCGAAGGACGGGAGTAGAGCACAGGCTCCATCCTCCAAGTGGAACTGGGGAAGCGGGGAGGTTCAGACTCCATGCCTCCTCGCCCAACGCTAACTAGAGGCACAGAAATGCGGAGAGCTCACGAATGCACTGCCCTGGCCCAGAGAAGCGCTGGACCGTGGAATGGGATTTCATTGATTAATTTGTAACCGTGGGCCGTGCCCTATGGAGCATGAAACACCTGAGCCTTGATCTGGGAAGCTCCCGGCAAAGGGAACAATGAATGGTGAAGTCCCAGGAGCACGGAGGTGCTGGGAGGTGATGGGGGAGGAGGCTCTCCCTGAGCCCTGAAACATGCCCTCATCCCTGAAGAGGGGAGCAGAGGAGAGAACCCTGGGCGCCGTGCACACCATTCCCCTAATTGCTGGTGTCTGCGTTACAGCATGAGGCCT